CTGCCCGGGGCCCAAGGCCCCCGGCGGCCGTGGGCAAGCCCGTCCTGCGCCCGTCTGCCCCCTGATGAGCTGAGAGGCGGTTGCACCAGATGCGGTGCAGGGAGGTCTGGGATCCCCGCGGTGTCTCAGGGGGTTGGGGTTTGTGGAAGCGGATGCTGGTCGCACTGAGCTGGGCGGCCATCCGGCCCCTCTCCCGCCTGGGACTCGGCCTGAGGCTCTCTCTCCAGGCCGGGAGGTCAGCCTGGCTTTGCCTGGGCACCTGGGCACCCGGGGAAGAGGAAGAGGCGACAGTTCGAGGGCTGCCCCCACCTCCCCACCCCCTGACTCTCCACTTCCCTGTCGCCCGTGGGAAGAGGGGAGGTTGGCTGGTTGTTGTTTTTGTTTGTTTGTTTTTTTTTATATATTTTTATTGATTTCAGAGAGGAAGGGATGCCCGTGTTAAGAGGGGAGGTTGGCTGGGTTTTTTTGTTTGTTTGTTTGTTTTAAATATATTTTTATTGATTTCAGAGAGGAAGGGAGAGGGAGAGAAGATAGAAACATCAGTGATGAGAGAGAATCATGGATCGGCTGCCTCCTGCACGCCCCACCCTGGGGATCGAGCCCGCAACCCCTGGGCATGTGCCCCTAACGGGAATCGAACCCGGGACCCTTCAGTCCACAGGCCGACGCTCTACCCACTGAACCAAACAGGCTAGGGCGAGGTTGGCTGTTCGGGGAGCCAGGGCCGATTGGGTCCGGTCTCGAGGTTTGCAGGCTCCATGGCTGGGAACGGTGAGGGGAACAGACGGCTCCTGCTATGGCAGAGGTCGAGGCACGCGTGGGCCAGGAAGGCTTCGCGCAGGCCTGGCCGCCCCTTCCCAGGGAGGCTGCAAAGGAAGGTTTCGGGTTGTACTGCTGACCTGCAGGGGAAGCCAGGCAGATAAGGGATTCGATTGGGTGGTGGTTTCATGGGAAACGGGGGGCTAGGGAGGGTCCTTGGTCAGTGGTGGCTTCATGCCCGAGCCCAGGCTGAGCAGTGTGCCTGGGCTTCTGGCAGTTGTTGGGGGATGGATGGTCGGAGTCCTTGGCTGACCTGGGCCAGGGGCAGAGGTGGCTGGTCCTCATTGGCCCCCCTGCGGCCGCCCTGTGGGTCAGTGACAGGGAGAGGTGAGTGGCTGGGAGCGTTCGGCCCGGGGAGGGCCTGGCAGCAGGTGCGCTCGCATGCGGGGTGGTGAACCGTTGGAAGTGGGTGTGGCCAGCCCTCGGGGTCACTGTCCACTTTCCCTGTGTGACGCTCCCTGCACCTTCCCACCGTCATGGCTTCCCACTGGACTGTTCCCTCTGCCTGGATAGCCCTCCTCCGCCTCCCACGGCCTTTGATGCCCTTCAAGACCAGCTGAAATGCCATTTTTTAAAAATATTTTTTTATTGATTTCAGAGAGGAAGGGAGAGGGAGAGAGAGACAGAAACATCAATGTTGAGAGACAATCACTGATCGGCTGCCTCCTGCACACACACACACACACACACCCGCCACCCCCCATGGGGAATCAAGCCCAAAAACAGGGCATGGACCCTGACCAGGACTCGAACCTCGACCTCCTGGTTCATAGGTCAGCACTCAACCACTGAGCCACACCGGCCGGGCTCAAATGCCATTTAAAAAAAAAAAATGAAGTCATGTGAGACCACCCTGTTCCTGGCCCCGGTCAGAATCAAACTCTTCCTTCACTCTGCTCTGCCAAGAACATTGCTCTCCCTTCCATTACTGAG